TATCATTTTATTACTCAATTTATGAGTATAACTTGTGGATTGATTTTGACTCTTATTTTGAGTTGTGCATACTAGCACTCACTAAAAAGTATGACCTGATGTGAAGGTATTCGAAATATTTTTTTGGTATTTTTGCAAAAGCAAAATTAACCATGGAGTTTTTTGAGAATGGCTTCTAGTGTGCTACTACATTATTGGCCATTGAGAAAAAAATTAAAAAAAAATTGAATATGAGCAAATATATGCCTATATTATGCGACAAATATAAATTGATGAGAAATTTTCTCACCAAAGATTGGTTCAATATATTTGGACCATTAAGAGAGATTATTTGAAAAATATTCAAGAACATCATATCTTTGCTATTTTATTGTGTAAAAGATAAATTTCAAACTTAAGTTAAGGATATGATACACATCAAGGGGAATGGGACTTGAGCCTAAAAATTTTTAAATTGGAACAATTTATGAGAATACAACTACCTTGGACTGTCAATCTCAAGAATTAGGTCAAATCATAGAATGGTTTGGGTGAAAAGCATACATTTATTATAAAATTATTAAATCCCTCTATATGGAGTAAAGCATGCTCGTGATTCTATGACAAAGAAAAGGTTATGATTTGATATAAATCTTTTAATGAATTCTAAAACCCTTTATGGGTGGGATGCCTTAGTCATAGGGGTATTCTTGATAGATTCACATTCACCTATGAGTGTGGAAGTAAAGGTCGTTTCCTATAAAAATTTGGCTAATTCTCTAAAGCACTTATGATTCCAGAATAAAGCACAAGGCCGTATTGTGTTGGTTTAAGAAACTTGTTAATTAATATCTTGAATATCACGTGTGTAACATAATCTTACATATATTAAAGTAGTTTTAATTTCAAGGCTTTAGTCCACTTTGACTCTAATATGAGGATTATGGAAACACTAAATGAAGGTTTCAAGGCAATGCCACTTTCATTATGCATGATGTTCTCACTTTGTCCAAATTTTTATCTCTTTCAAATTTAATTAAAATAAGTGGGGAAATGTTAGTTTATTTTAATAAAATCTTAAATTTTCCTTGGCCAAATCTTTACAAGGAGTTATAATAATTTATTTGAGAGTTATGAGAATTATAATGTTGGGAGTTACAATACATTTTGAATGGAGCTATTATACAATTATTTGAATAGGAGTTACAAGTGAATTATTTGGTCAAATGAAGAATTATTGAGTCTTTATAAGCCATTCATATATGAATCAATTTTTAGGTTACAAATTCTACAAATTAACTACAATTTAGTATGAAAAAAACCATTATACATTTAACTTGGACATTCAACCTATTTTCTAAAGGTTTGTGTAGCCTATAAATAGTGAAGTTTTTGGAGAATTTTTTATATACACATTTTCTCTCAACAAAAAGATTATTCTAAATACTATTTTTCCCTACACTCATTTCTTTCTCCCTCATTCTGATTTTCTTTAGGCAAAGTAAGATATTGGGAAGCTTCTACTTCTCTTGGTTGTGCAGATCAAAGGGAAGCAACAACTATAGAGTTGGGCTGTTGTACCTGGAGACGGCACGCTAGAGCTCCTGCATCAGTTAAAAAAAATATCGTGGGGACACGTATCGTCTTAAAAAAAGCGTTCTATGTGTCTCAACTCTACCGGACTTCTTAGTAGCTATCAAATTCAACATAGTTAGCTTGATGATCAGAAGTTGTTCATGTACTCTCCTCCAACAATTTTAAGATTTAGTCTACACCTCAATCCACGTCAAATTAATTTTTGATGGTACAAATTATTTGCATTTATTAATACAATATTGAAGTACAACACTTCCTATCTATTTTGGATTGACAAAAACTTGTATAGACTCAGTCTAGGGTCCCATTCGTAGAGCCAGCGATACAGAAGTTCCCACATCATCGATCGTTTGGAATTCAATATTCAACTAGTATAGAATTCTGTACTTCTCTCATCGATTTTGCGTTCTTCTTTTGACTCCATTCCTCCCATATTTCCGAAAGCCCCAAGATGCTACCCCCAGATGGAAAATGAGGTGGAGGCTGCAACTGAACCACATCTAATAGCTCCAGATCTTATATCATCTTTCTCGAACTTCTTGTCCTTTCTCATCCCCTCGATAGCGTAAGATATTAGGATGTGTTTGGATAGTACATCATTTGTGTTAGTACTAGTCTTTAGAAAAGAACAAATAGAAAAAAAAAAAAAAAGAAAATGACAAAAGACAAAAGAAAAATCCAGAGATGAAATTTTGGTTAAATCAGGTGAAGTCGAGGAACAGGCATCAGAATATTTGACTCTTACTTGATGACGTGGAGAATTCTTCACTGCTCGGTCTACAAGTGGGGCCGTAAACCAAGGTTACACAAGTTTTTGCCGGTTGAATTTGGGGCTTCCTAACTGTTACTATCAATTTTGAAATTTCGAGATTCTGCAATTTTTTGTGTCAATAGCTTGTGTTAACATAGATATGGAGTAGAGTACGATTAGGGTTTTATTTCTTGTATCATTTAATGTACGATGGTATAATTTTATAGTACGCATAAATTTTATTATCGATGAAACCATGTATATAAGTCTAGACCAAATGCAGAAATTGTGTAGGGTTGCATCCACAATGTATGTATCCAAAGTTAAAGTTCGTATAATAAGGATAATTTTAAAAGCCTCTCCAAGATTTCTGATAATTTCACCCAGCGCTTATTTAATTCTAGTTGTTGCACTTACCTCACTTCATAGCTCAAAACAACTATAATAACCTTTCCAAAACAATGATACCATTCTATGCATTAAAATTTCAGGGCAAAATTTTTTAGAAGAGGAAAAAAATTTTAAAATGTAGTAAAATTAGTTAAATGGCTATCAAAATCCACAAAGTTGCCATTAAGTATTTCTTCTCACTAAATAGCTCTATCATCACCACTAATATTTATTTTTATATAATTTTGACCCTTCTCTTTTGTCTATCCAAGTTTGTCATCCTTCCGCAAAATCCCAATTTTCATATCTCACAATTTTTAGTACTAATCATGTTCCCTAATCCACCCATATTTCATTCTTCTCATTGTTTTCCTTTTTTGTCTCCTACCAATGTTCAATAAACAGTTAAGCCAATAGTAAATTGGCTAAAGGAATATAGAGGAAGTGATTCAAGGTTTATGTAAGGCAGAATATTTGAGACAAGATGGAAAAAAATGATTGCATTCATTGAATAATTTGATTTAAAACCAAAAAATGGTCAAGGGCAATATGGGATATTAGTATGATTTTTTTCCGCACAACTCAGCCAAATGAAACCCAAAGCTACCGAGAGAGAGAGGAAGCGGGAAGGAGGGATGGATTGGGTGGTATGAGAAGAGAGAACGTATATGACAGGTTTTGGATTTGAAACCTCCTACTTATACATTTTTTTTTTGGAAAAAAAAAAAAATCCCCAAAGCTACTATTTATGGGAGCTAGATGTAATTTTTTAAACATGGAGGTAGCTAGCTGTAATTGTTATAAACCTCAGGGGTGATTTTTGAAATTATCACAATTAATAATAACGTACAAATACGCTACAAACTTTATTAATCATTTAAATTTATGTCCTAGAACAGATTTCACTAATCTAAATTTATATATTAAACTTATTTGGGCCGTTGGTTTTTGGTGCGTTGCCATCACAATTGTAAAGAATCTCAGTCCCATTTTTCTACTCACTGAAAACGTTTAGATTTTCCCTCAAAAACATTTAATAAAACGTGCAGATGGCAGGAAACTAGAACCAGAAATGCTAAACAAAAGTCAGTCTTCACGGCTTCAGGCAGCCTCCTGTCATCAATCATGTGTGCATTGAACACTGATACCACGAACATAATGCTGTTATACAGGAAAAAAGATATAATTGCTATCCATTATGCATTAATGAATGGCAATACTTTATTGGTCCTATCTTTTTTTTCTTGTTTCTTATTTTTTGTTTGACAAAAAGCAAATTTCATTAACAGATTGCTGAAATCATCCAACATGATTTGATTTACACGCACTGTCCTAATGGTAGGTTAAACATGCACAAGAAATATTAGATATAAAAAATTATGAATTGATCTGAAAAATTATGAATTATGAACAGATCTAAAAAATACAAGAAATTTCAAAACTATATTCTAATAAATCGCTGCAACTCTCTTATATCCTTGTTGCATTCATTAGATTTGCTAATCAACTGGTTTAAGCTCTAATATTAATGATGAGATACTTTGAAACAGATCCAAGATCCAATAAATTTCAAATCTAGATCTGAAATAAATTCAGGTCTAACAATAAAATAAGAAAAAACAACATAAACAAATCTTACTAGAGACTTTGAGACACAGAAAATTCTCACTAGAAACTTGTAGGAGAAATAGAGGACTCTCACTATGAAAATTTATGATATATTTCATTAGAAAAATAAAATAAAACGAAATCCAGGAGAGGGAGGGGAAGGCTTTTTGAAAAGTTGGGAAAGAAGAGAAGTTCTTCCTTATTTTATCTTTTCATGGGCATTAGAATTGGGTGATTGACTAATGAAGGGCCATACTATACTTAACCCTTCTCTGGTAAAGTTTGAATGTGATTGCTGGTTAGATTACAACAATGCACCAGATTGAATGATGCACCTTGCCATCATATTACTCCAGATTAGAACTACGAATGATTTGATCCCAAAGAAGAAAAAAAAAAAAGGCGAGAACAGCCAAGCAATTGGCAACAGTAGTATTATTTGAAACCGTTGGATTTTCAATTCCATTGCAACTGCATAATTTATGGGTCAGAATTTCCGGATCCAAAGGAAGAGGATTGGCACTTTGATGGTCTTTTGACCGTGTAAAAATTAAAGCAGACTGAAAAGGGAAGGTGAAAATTATTCTTCAACCTTTTACCGTAGACAACTTTGAACCACAATGTCAAGAGCAGTAAGCAAGTGTTTAAGTTGACAGGTAAGTCAAAGATGAAAGTTGAAGCAGTCATAAGCACCAAACATCAAAGAAAGTTTAAAAATGTTTAGTGAAAAGTAATATATAACTCTTTCTTTTGATGGGTTCCGAGCTATTTGCAAAACATGCATCAGAGAAGTCCAATGGTGCTAGTGGAATCATTTACAGTATCAGCAGACTGAATTTTAATCCAACAAGAAGAATACTCAAAAATGGGATCCTAAAGGTTTTCTGTGGTTCTAAACCGTCACGTCATACCTCCAGGATGCTCTTCTGCATAATGCTCATCACTTAAAGGCTCCACAACCTTACTTAGCAGTATTCAGCCTTCCTCTCTCAAGTCCTAGAATTGGCTGAATCACGTGTGCCCCCAATCAATGTACCCACGCTTTCTCCCCGAATAGCTTTTGATATGTTATCTGGTTTGTTGAGATTGAATACGACAACTGCATGAAGAAAAGTGAGGTTAAAATCAGCTTTAAACGGGTTAAAATGCAACGACGTTATTGGTTTATCAGCCCTGAAACCAAATAATGGTAATGAATATGAAACTTAAAGATACGTACCAGGAATGTTGTTTTCTTGGCACAGGGTAATGGCTGTCATATCCATAACTGAAAGTTCCTTTGACGTTACCTCGTGATATGTCAGGGTATCCAAAAGACGAGCATTGGGATTTCGCCTAGGATCATCATCAAAAACCCCATCGACATTTGTAGCTTTCAGCACAACCTCGGCATTTACTGCAAAAACATTTGAAACGCAACACAATTAGGAGCACTAAAATATTGACAGAAGAATTAAACACCAGGCAGTCTTAAAAGGCTTAATCAGCATAGTGCAGTAGTAGGGGTCTACAAAATTTGGTAGCAAATATGTGGTTTCCAAAGTTTCAAGTCTGCAAAAAGAAGGCGATCTTGTTTTCATGTCAAATATCATAAAACTAGGCCTTTCCTTTGGGGCCATCTTTCATCGATTTTAGATGAGTGACAGTTCATTTATTAGGAGAAAAGGAACAAACATGGGGAAAATGCAATAAGCATTCCAAGTAATACATTACCCTCTCATCCATGTTAGACATTCTGAACATATCAGGGTCTGGGTCAGGAAAGTGAACTTACTCTCAGCACACCTTAAGGCAGCTGCAGTGTCTGTAGTGAAGAAGGGATTTCCTGTTCCAGCTGCAAAAATTACCACCCTTCCTTTCTCTAGATGGCGGACAGCCCTTCTGCGTATGTATGGTTCGGCAACTTCTGACATACGAAAGGCAGTCTGGACTCTTGTCGGGATCCCGATACTTTCCATTGTTGCTTGCAAAAATATAGCATTCATTACAGTTGCCAACATCCTGAACAAGGATTTGAAAACATTAGTGCCATCAGCCCAGTACCAATGGTCAAACATCCTAAAATCCTAATTGGTTGCAAACAGGAATAGTGAATGAGAATATTAATCCAGGTAAAGTAATAACACACATTAGAACCAAATCAAACCCAATTAACAAAATAAGCCAGATGGCTGACATCAAACAATGCTCAAAATCAATGACTTGGGATTTAGCCTATCTTTGAAATTTTGAGTAATCCTGAATCATTATAGAGAAAACTGTCCCTGGTCCTAGTTGAACTAAAAAGTTTACCTTGTCAACCTTCAAGTGAGTAAATAGGCTAATTGGCTGATGATCTAAATAGACCTTTGATACATGTTGTTAAGTTCTAATGCTAGATAATTGCTGGGAAAAGAATCTAGATGAGGTCCCTGAACTCTAATTCTTATTTTGTCTTTTCTCTTTCTTGCAACTTTCCTGATTTCTTATATGGAAAAACTTATCATGCACTTTCTATAAAAAGCAAAAGGGAACATGGATAATCAAGAAATATAGAAATGACCAGAATTACTCTCCCTTTAAGATAGCCAACTGCCACTCAATCCTTCATTATCTTTTTCACTCTTAAATCCGGAATCTAGCAAGTCCATCAAAGCTAACCATTTCACAAGATTTTGACTTCTACAAGAGGAGTATATTGAAGCTTTTACCTTTCACAATAAATTCCCAACTTTTTTTTCTGTCACAAACTTTAGGAATCCGACACAAGATTTTATCTTTTACAAATTGCAGATTTGTAAACTTTACAATATAAGCAACACTTCTATCCAGTCAAAATGTTTATACAAACCAATGATAGTGCGCAAATTTATTATGTCAAAATTGACTTGGAAATTAATGTCTTCAATTAAGACGCATGAAGCTGATCAACAATGAAAGTTTTTGTAACCGAATTTTGAGGGCAGTATTAACACTACGATGAGAAACATCCTTTATGCGCTTTATTGTTTTGAAATGTGCATGTTAACTAGTCGTTAACATGCAGTATTTAGTTTAATTGAGATGTGAGAAAGAACTGAACTCTGATACTTTTGCTTCATATACATCTCTTTAGTTTGTACACATCCAGCAAGCACCATTTGGAGCGTCCATGCATAAATGAGCTTCTTTGAGTGCTTTGAGGCATTTCACTCTTTGCCAGCACCACAATGTAAAGGGTGAAGGCTGGTAGGAAGCATTTTAGCAAACACATAGATGCACAATCCAACGAACATGCATGTGCACACCATACTCAGAAAGATTAATTATCACAAAAGATCCAGTACCATGATCCCTTATACTATTGCAACCTCTACCATGTACAAGTCTCCAGAGGTAAAATATACACACACAGTTTCAAGAGAAGAAAATGAAGAACAGTGGCAATTATGTGGTACAGCTCATGACAGGTAATCAGTAGAAACTTGATTTAAAAGTATACTTTGTAGCTAAAACTAGAACTTTATTTACACAAATCTGAGATGAGAAAATACCCAATGTAATCAGCTGAAGAACGGTCAAGACCACTACTTCCTGCCCAAGATGATCCACGAAAAATATTTCCTCCACCAACAACTATTGCAACCTGAAAAATTATCCCAAATTAGCCAACAAAAATATCTTCGTAAATCCAGTGAATAGTTATGGTCTACTCATGCAACCTTTCTGAAAAGAATTCAGCATCCATAAACTGGTTAAAGAATTAACAATCTAAAAGAAGACCCAAAATGTTGTTTCAAATGTTCAAGACAAGATCATTCAATTATAGAATTCTGTCAGAAGGTTAGAGCTGCAATTTCTCATCAAATTTTTATCCCACTATTGAGGTCCATGCAAAAAGCCATCTTCTTGGGTGACTCACTCTTGAAATATTTAAATGGGTTCAGAAGCTAAATAGGTAAACTAACTGGTTTTGTAAAACCTCTTCACGGTAACTAGATACTGTAGCAGAGATCCTTGAAAAACAGATAACAGCAAAGTGAAAAGAATTAACTGAACACAGTTTTAATAATAATAATAATATTTATTATTATTATTCATCATAAGCCCATGTTCTCAGAAACTATTACGAACGCCTCATTCTGCACTTCCAAACTAGATGCCACTCTATCCTTTTAGGTTGTCACAAGATAAGTTCACCTATATAGAGGCGAAAATTTAGCTTTTTACTTAAACATAAACAAGTTCTAGTGGCCTCCATGTGCTACTACATCTTCTTAATAGTTTCAACCACATACAATGCCATTCCAGAATTGGTTTTCTCTTTATTTTAATTTTTGTTTAATAAGTACATGATTCAAGTTTTACCTTAAAACACTGCACCAAGTTAAAAGAGACTATTTATTCTGGGGCAAGGATCAGAAAGCTAGGCAGAAAAATTATATATAGTCCCTAATATGGGAAACCAAAGTGAAACAATAAGCAGGAAATGAAAATTCACCTCAATGCCAAGTCGGGTAACTGATGCAACCTCCCTTGCAATTGCCATAGTGACCTAAACAAGCACAAAAGAATTATTAACTCAAAAGTATACAAGTTACTATGCCAAGCACCCCATTTTTAGGGCCTTGGAGAGGACGAAAGCACAATAATGTGTTCTAATGGCTCTTTCAATTCCAACCTTCGGGTCAATATTTTGTTCTTGATCTCCAGCAAGTGCTTCCCCACTTACTTTAAGCAAGACCCTACGCCATTTATATGATGATTGTGGAGTACCATTTTCATTCAGTGTCATCGTAAAAGAAGCCATAGAAGTTACTTGAGGTTGCCTGTTGGATATGAAAAACAATCAAGCTTACCAGAAAAGGAACATATTCCGTTTTGTATAGGATAATACTAGATGAAAATGACAACTGCAAACCAGAACTTTATTTGGAAATTCCAAATATTGTACATAGTAAAACTCTTGAAACAAGTACATGATGATAATACCTTATATGGTATCTCAGGTAACCAAACATGATGTCATAAGCAAACCAAAATAGAAAATACAACTGCTTATTTGAAGTTTTTAAATTATTTAAGAAGCATGGATCTGCAAAGGGGAGTGTCTTGTATAGTTCTGCAGTGATAAAGAAGGTGCCATCCAGTTCTCCTCCTATATTCTTATTCTTAAACCACAACTGCTGTTAAGCGAGCTTTTGGCACACTTCATATACTTTCTTAAGTTAATCCGTGTGTCTGGCAACATTGTCACACAGCACTACCAGTGTGTAAACTTGCATGAGAGAGACATGCCATCCTAGACAAAGCTTAACAAATGCATTTTAAAAATCACTTGAAAGTTGAAACCAATTACGTTCAACCAAGCTGCATTAAACAAACAATTTAATGAAATTTCACTCCACACTGACCGTTCTGCATGAATTAGACAATTCAAATGGTTCCCTATGATCCTCCTTACGACTAAAGGATTTATGATGGTGATGATAAGCTGCCCATTCTCAATTGATTCCAGTGAAATAGATCTTTCTCTTTTCCACCCAATCAGAATGAAGTAAGAAACAGCTTCAAATAAGAGCATGGCGACATAAACAAAGGGAAAATACTTTTAATTTGCCACAATGCATATCAACGCCACAATTTCCACTTCTTTGCCTCATGAAGGCTCACGAATTTTAAACTGCATATCGCTTATGACATTTAAACTTTTCTTTTCCCCACACTGCATAGGCCTAATGGTTTATGACCAATCTACCAATTTTCACGAAACCAACCACTGCGCAAAATTACTGATTTTTCTTTTTACTTGTATATGCTTTTAAAATTTATCCCATTTGCCATAATACTGTTGTTCTGACACTATAATAAGTCTAAAAATTGCACGCCACTCGAACTGCAGCTTTCATCAAGCAAGAAACTTTTAAGCAAACAAAAAACAATAAAAAAAAAACCAAGACCAAAAATGACAATTAAGAATAGCACCTGCAATTTCACCAAACAACTTTCAAGAATGTTTGCTACAGATCAATTCATCGCAGCCCATTACCAAAAGGAATTCAAGAAGTTTCTTGTACATTACCTAATATTGATAGGTTCAGAGGAGGAGCCCAGTTCAGAGGAGCAACAGCTGATAACTAAAGATTGAGAACAGCCTTGAAAACCAAAATTATGGTAATTTTGGTAATGAGATTTCAAGAAACAGAGAGAAGGTGAAGAAGAAATGGCACTGAAAGAAGCAATGGGACGGCTTAAAGAGGTTGAGAAAATAGACATTTTTACTCAAAAAAACACCTCAAAGCAAAACGAGAACAAGAACCCTACTAGAATTCTTTTTCTCGTCTAATGAAAGAAATTGCAAAATTGATTCTTTAACGCCTTGGTTCAAGATTCTTGGGGGGTGTATTGAGGATTCTTGCAGGGATTTTTTTGGGTTATTTTGATGGGTTCTATTTTTTTTTTTTTTTTTGATGGGTTCTATTTTGATGGGTTCTATTTGGATAACGTTATTTTGGGTATTGCGGTCTTGTGGGAAACGTGGATTTTCCGAGGGAAATATCTTCTCGACCCAAAAACAGAAAGGGGAAGGCAAAAGGAAATGTCTCATCAGGCACTAGGCAGACTAGGAAATTAAAGTCCAAAAAACGCCGATGCATAGTTTTATGTTTTTTAAGTTAAAAAATGATTGGATTGAAGTTTTTTGGAAAATTTTTTTTTACGTTTTTTACAAACATATTTTTTAATTTTTTTTTTATTTTGTATACATCAGATCGTTAATATATTTTTTAACAAAAATTCTAAAAAATAATAATCTAAATAAATTATAAAAATTGGAGATCTGGGGAACTTAAAATATCTTTTCAGTATTTTATTTGTAAGAAATAACTTTGACAATGCTTTTAAAAAAAAATTTGATAATGGAAGTAAAAAATTTATAGTAGTCAATTTTTTGTTAGGAAGAAATCTTTGTAGTCATCGGGTACACGTCTTATTATTTGTAAGGACAAATAAAGTGCTTTTTTTCTTTATTTGAGGGAACTTAATGGGTGTTGGGGATTTAGCCATTTAGGTCAATGTCCTTTATACATACATGCATACATATATGTACACACACATGTATATATGTATGTATGTATATATATATATATATATATAACAAGAATATTGTCCATGGAGCACATTAGTATAATAGGCAGAAGCTGTTTCTTTTTTTTTTTTAACAAAAAAAAAGGCAGGTAAAGAAGATGGCAAATGATAATTAATGTCACATTTCATATTTTATTTCCACAGCAAATTTATTTAAAATGATAAAACTATCCCTCCTATTGCATTTGGACTTAAAAAGGGCAATTTTAGCATTTTGTGCAAAAATGATTGTGGAATTAAAAAATGGACTGTAACATTAACAGCACAAGAAGATGGTAAGTAGGGGTGGCAATTCGAGTCCAAATCAAGTTGGCGGGTCGGGTTCGGGTCAACCCGTCAGAAAATCTGTTGACCCGAATTCGACCCGCCAACCCGTGACGGGTCAGGTATGCTGACCCGAACCTGAAAATTTCGGGTTGGCGGGTCGACCCGAAATGACCCGAAACTTAATTTTAATTTATTAATTTATCACTGTAATTTCTAATAAAATCAATTTCTCACAAAACTAATTACATAATCAAGTAATAAAAATTTAAATAAATAATTCCAAACCAAATCCAAAATAAATTAAACACCGTAAAAGTGTTTTATCCCAAACAAAATATAAAATAAATTAAAACAGTATAAAAGTAAAAAATAATATAATATATTATTTGTCTAAATATAATAATTTCAACTTCACACAAATTAAATAAATTCATTTAGGATTAAGTAATTAATGCCTTTGAAAAAAAGAATAACTTAGTTTAGTTAGATAAAATTATTTTTATGTTTATTAAATTATTTTTAATTCGTAAACGGGTCATATCAGGGCGCCACGGGTTGACCCGAAATCGACCTGTTTTCTTTTCGGGTTCATCGGGTCCAACCCGATTCTGACCCGAATTCCCGAAATCTCAACCCAAACCCATTAATTTCGTGTTAGGTTCGTGTCGTGTTTTCAGGTCGTGTCGAAAATTGCCACCCCTAATGGTAAGGTACACTACAAATTTACACCATCCAATTTTAGTTTTGAGCCTACTATGATGGCCCTTCTGAAAAACATAGAGTTGGTTTGGATTCCTTGTTTTTGTTTCTGTTTTTGAAAAACTATTTTTCACATTCCAAATACTACAATAAATGTGTATTTTAAAAACAACTCTTCCAAACAATATATCAAAAACAACTCCAAATATACATCTTTAATATCTATATTTCAATTATGTATACTATAAATATATATATATTATATTTATATAAATTTATAAATATATTTATGCAATTTTGTTTTATAATATATATTAATATATATTAAAGTGTATATTTAAATTACGTATATTATATATAAATTATATTAATATTAATGTATATTATATATAATATACATTTATAATATTATAAATTTATATATTTATTTATACATATTATAAATATTTTATTTTATTTAAAATATATTTTATATATTTATAAATTATTTATATAAATATTATATAATATAAATATATAATTATAAAATTATAAAAATATTATATATTATATATTATATATTTAATATATATAATATGTATTATATATATTATACATTTATGTATATATATTTATGTAATTATACATTTATATACATTTATATATATTTATAATATGCATTTATATTATGTATTATGTATAATACAATACATTTATACATTTATATTAATATACATAATAGTAATTATACATTTATACATAATATTAATATATTAATATATTTATACATTTATACATAATATTAATATATATTTATAATATATTAATTTATACATTTATAATAATATACAATTATTACATTTATAATTATATTTATATTATGTAATATATATAATATAAAACATTTATAAAACATTTATATATTTTTATATAATTATATAATTATATAATTATATTTATTTATAAATATTTATAAATGTATTATAAATGCATAAATGTATATAAATATTTAAAAAATAAAAAATAAAAAATATTAATTATAAAAAATATTAATTATACATTTATACATAATATTAATACATTAATACATTTATATAAATTATATTAGTACATTTATACATAATATTAATATATATTTATAAATTATAATTGGGAAAATCGTTCAAAACGTCCCTCACATTTTGTAAAATAACTTTTTTTGTCCCTCACTTTTAAAAATATAATTTTACGTCCCTTAAAAATTCACATTGGTCAAATTTGGTCCCTACTTAGATTTCCGACCAGTTTTTGGTCGGAATTCACAACGTGCCTTGCACGTGATCATATTTTAAGGGCAAAATTGTCAAATCAAATTTTAGATAATTCGATTCATAATTCCTCACATTTCATAAAATAAATTCATGTATGTGAATAATTTTTTTTTAAATCCATGCAAGTCATGTGGTGGATTCCAGCCAAAAACTAGTTAGAAACCTAGGTAGGGACCAAATTTGGTCAATGTGAATTTATAAGAGACGTAAAATTATACTTTTAAAAGTGAGGAACGAAAAAAGTCATCTTGTAAAATGTTAGGGACGTTTTGAACGATTTTTCCATTATAATTTATACATTTATATAATATTCATTTATAATTTATACATTTATATTAATTATACATTTATACATTTATAAATATATTTATATTAGTATTGTATATAATATAATACATATATAATACATTTATATATTTTTATATAAATATATTTATTTATAAATATTTATAAATGTATTATAAATGCATAAATGTATATAAATATAAAAATATAAAAATTATAAATCATAAAAATACTCAAAAATATGTTTTAAAAATACCTCCAAAAATAATCCAAAAAACATCTACAGAAAAAAATTTTATATAGTTTTTGAAAAACAACCCCAAAAACAACTAATCCAAATGGACTTGTATTTGAAAAACGAAATGCTACAGTAATATTTTTGAAAAACAATCCCAAAAACAGCTAATCCAAACGTACCAATAGTTTATTATCAAAATTTTCTTTTAAATTTCACTATATGATTTCGAGTTCTACTTCTGTACTTCACTTCTAAGAAAATCTTGAAGATAAAGAGCCATATATCTTGAAGATAAAGAGCATTTTATTCTCAAAAGTTTGCTATAACCTTTTTTATAAGACGTTTGCTACAAGGTAGTGTGAAAAAAATATTTCCCTCATGGCTGTAACATAGGGCGCCATTGGGAGCCCGAAAAAAAAAACTCAAACAAATGAAGGGGGAAAAAATCACATTTATTGGCACATAAAATATCGCTTAAAAACAAAATCCTATAATATCTAATTCTCTTTTTTTCCTCCCCCGACCACCTAATCCACCCCTCCCCCAATAGTATCTATGTTAATTCAGCCAAAAAAAAAAAAAAAATTATTGGCACTCGGCACATAGAACATTGCCTTTAAAAGAAGAAAACAAAATAAAATTCTACAACATTTATATGTACCATTATGTCCGCTTAAATCCAAAGCAGCATAGGATTCGGCTAACATTTATGTGTGTATATATATTGAGTCCTAGTTTTGGTGAGTTGATCAGTTAGCTACGCTACCTTTTGCAAGGCGGATTATACGGATAGAATTCTACAAATATACACGTCGCTACGTATCGGTTCTATAACAGAAAATATTCTAAGTTCGTCACGTAGTGAAGGAAGGCCTTGCTTGCGGCATCGTGGTCTATTCTTGCGTACGTTGTTTGGTGCCTACGGTACATTCTTGGAGCAAACGTTCGGCTAATCGTAGTCAATTCTTGCATACTTTGTTTGGTGCCCACGGCATATTCTTGGAGCAGCAAACTTTTTTTTTTTTCTCGTGTTTCATCGGTACTGTTCAGTTTTCAGGCCTACCTTATATATTCTTGCATACTACCAAGAACATAATGGAGAGGCTTGGCCAATCACAACAGTGCCCCACCACCCCTTCTACTTCTGATGATGAGTGCCATAATATGAGAATTGCTGACTATTTGGCGAGAAAGGTCGAGAAAAAAGGTGCAAAAGTTGCAAGAGAAACGAGGTCAAAGTATTCTGTTGATGGTTCAAGCAAGCGTTTTGGAGATTCTCATATGAATGAAGTATTTGTTTGGAGGAAAAAGATTGAACGGGACGTGATGGAAGGGCGAATAGAGGCTAACATGTTATCATCAAAGGCAGAGAGGAAAAGGCAGATGGAAAGGTTTGGTGAAGTGGAGAAGTTAAAGAAGAGGAGGGAAGAAAGGGATATTGCCAAAAGGAAACATGAGGAAGAGATGGCTTTGTTAGCTCGGGAGCGTGCTCGATCCGAGGTCCAGGAATGGGAGAAGAAGGAAGAAGAATTTTTTTTAGCTCAAAGGAAGATTAGGACAGAAAAACGGTTTTGCGAGGGCCGTCCAAAGCCAATCGATATATT